AGTTTTGAGATGCTTCCGGAGTAGAACTGGCCAAAAAGAATGAAGCATAATAATTTTGTTTTACGATTTCTCAAAAAAATAAGTATCGTAAGATAGCGTGTGGATGAAAAGTTAATTCAAACCTCAGATTGGTCAAATGATTTTGATGCCAACAACGAATAGAAACCGGCTTCTTATTTAAGTCCGGCAACAATAGCAGCGAACATAACGGTGATATATTGATGTAATTTGTGGCCTATTGGTTCAACTAATGTTTAATAATAGCCTGCATTTCAAGTAGAAGTTTTCAGTGCGACCTTGCCAATAATTTATTTCAAATGGCAGGCGTTTTGATAGCTATCATTAGCCATTTAGCTGACTTCGGGCTTCACAGAGGGAAGGTTAATCAAAGTAGAAGAAAGTCGAGGGGTGGGGAACAGAAGAGCGATTCACAGATGTGAAAGAGCCAGACAAACACAAATATAGAGAAAAAGTTAAGATGAGTACTGTGAAAGGGGTCGAATATGACAAGCAGTCGGGCCATGGTAGTTTGAAGTCGGAAGTCAGCTGCTGGTTAATAGACTTTTTTGCCGTATGAGTATACGTTGCCCAGGGTGCACCACGTGGAGGTAAGTCTATCGCGCACCCCTACCTTGCCAATAAATAATTACGCAATTAATATGTCATAATGGATTCACGTAATAAATAGTGTTTCAATAAGTCTGTAGAAGTGCAATAGATTCTTTGATATAGCTAAAACTTGATATGTTGTCAATGGAGTGATTTGCCTCATATCTCAACCTATTGAAATAATTTTAACGAAAATGGCACAAATAAAGTTTTAATAAATAAATTGTTTAAGTCAGAAGGAATCACGGTATTTACAGGCTTCTACTTATCTCTATAACGTAGAAGTTGCTCGGGCTAAATTTTAAATGGTAGTATTTGGTTGTTTTTTTTGCCTAGATGTGTCAAAGCTATTGACACTCCCTATGTCTTATATAAAAGCGTAAACTCTCCTTCGGGCCCATATTTGATGACAACGAGAATGGGTGACTGGAACGCGCATAAATCATACTGATTTGCGCCAACTATCGAAATAAAAGGACTGCTCTATTTTTACTCAATACTCTGAAAACAATACGGCCTGAACTATGTATAGACTAAATGTTAAGTATAAGAAAGGGACTATCTGATCTGATTGCGTTTGAAGGCTGATTTTCTCTACCATGAAGCTTGCTCTCAAGGAAGACCCTTGTTAATACAAGCACATACAAGCGTCGTAGAGGTCGACTCCTCACGGTAAGGTCCTACGAAAATCGTCTACTAAACTTGAAGGAGCTTATAACCAAGCAAAACGGGCTACTGAATTATAAATATTCTTGTCCTTTTCCGATGAAAAACAAGCTTTCTCTAACACAAAAAGCACACAATCCAATATAATTAATAACTTTACTTGAATACAATCTACACGACACCGAATGGGACATGGAGACGAAATCTTCCTAAGTCCTGGTTTACATATGAGGCTTTATATACGGTGGCTGCGAGATTCGTGCCCATGTCACAACTCACACAAAGCTCAAGATGATTGTTCGCCAATTTTTACGCTTACACCAACATCATTTATTAGCATTTGAACTCTTCTACCCAATGTACTATTATATCGGGATGGCAGCCATAAGGTTGTCCATACCAGTTAATGGGCAGAATTGAAGCATATTTTGAAGAAGAGGTAAAATCGGCGTTACCAAGACTCCACTGCCAGATCGAGATTGCAATGAGTACCAATGCCAGTCATTCTGAGCAAAGCACTTTCTGCACCTGTGGAATTTTATTTTCCATTGAATTTATTTTCAGTCCATTTTGCAGTTACCAACTGCTGTCTTTCTTATGCCTACCACCAAGCAGGTGCGATTTTCTGGATCCAGGTGGTGTTGGAAGGAAATGGCAGCTTTGGTGTGCATTTTAACATTCTTTTTTTAAAATTCTTTGTAGGCTTTTCAACTGTGGTGACCTCTAATCGGAAGGATATGTACTTTTAGTTTTTACATCTCTTCAATATTGATCTCTCCTGTCTTACTCTGTAATGAATAGACTCCGAACTTCTTTGAAAACTTTCTTTCATTTAATGTTTAAAGAGTTTGAGCGTTTAGTGATGAGTTCACGAAGTAGACGGTTAATAAGCTAAGCACTTTTTAGCAATCAGGAATTCGAAATTTTACTAACTTTTGAGCATATCTTTCTTTACTTTCTCAGTTGCAATCCGTGGCAGTGATGTCTTCACTCTACCATGCATTTCTACTCTGCCAGGTAAGTAGATGGTTTTCAATTTGCTTTAATTAATTTAGACTTATTTGGAAGAAATATAAGTCTTATATGTGTAAATTTAAGAGGTATTTTGAGTAAATATTGGGTCAATAAAAATGTCCATTCTGAAACTAAGGCAAGCCAACTTGATCTTGAAAGGTAAATTGGCAGCTAAATATCTGATTCCCTCCTAACCTCTCCTACTATCTTTTCACCCATCTTCACAACGACAGCAGGAGAGAGAGAAAGAGAGAGAGAGGGAAGAAGAGACTGTTGTGAGGAAAGATTATTCGAGGCGGATTCCGAACCGCGAGAGGGAGGCATGGTTGATGTGGGTTGCAAATGCGTCTGGATTGGCTTTACAAAGAGGTATAAATAGCGTGATAGATTTGAGGGAAAATTGGAGATGTGTAACAATAACCAGGCGTTCGTGTTGGCTTTTTTCATAGAGTTCTGTGAGTTTCTACTAGTTTTTTTTTATCAAATTGAAGAAGTCTAGGAAAACACCCAGGCAAGTGTTTTAATCATTCAAACTACAAAGTCCTTTTCCATTTTCAGTTAATTTTTCCCAATTTTGTTGGTACAAAATCTGTTGTATTTACAGAGGAATCGCTAAGGCTGCTCAAATCTTCCGTTTTTATAACCTACTTGGTATTCATCGAAGTGTTAATTGTGGGAAAAAACTGTAGTGTTCGGACTTATTCAGTAGTCAGAAGTGATTGAATAGCAATAAAAATTTCTAACACGCATTTCTAATGACATATCTAACATTTTTTGCTGCCCAAACTTAAATATTTAAAGCGCTTAATATAGGTCTCAATTATTATCAACATAAAAAATGGCACAAAATATAAATTAAGTCTGAAATGCAACTGTGTAAATATAAATATAAATATATATATCGACGTACCTCTGCTTAACTTCATGTTTTGTTTTTGCAGGTTTGGACAGTCTACTGTGAGGCAGCCGGCAGTCTTCATCCCGTCAATTCGACTGCTTATAGAGCAGCAAACGCGACAGCTCTAGAATTTTGGCTAAAGATTGCCCCTACCATTACAAATTTCCTGTCAATTTCTGAAGACGTAAGTCGCCATCTATTTGATTTGATAAAATCAGTCTATCGCCCTGTTTGTGATGCCTTCATCATCTCTTTAGGCAGCTGCAATTAACGGTCACTTGTTGACGGTACTAGAAGAACTGAAGGAATGCCGATCAATTATTGTCGATAAGGTAGGTAAAATTAGGTGGTAGCCGCATTGATTGATTGATTATTCGAAGTCCAAGTTACTTAAACGTAAAGCTGCTTGCTATTTTAACAATTTTTTGCTTCATAGCTTATAAGAAACCTCACTATTATATTCCGAAATTACTTTCTAGGCAAACATTTGATCTTTAGGGCCTATAATGGAATGTGAACGCGAATGTAATGGAGAAGGAAAACGTTTTTCTTTGGAGATTATCTGAGCTTTAGCTGATTTATTTGGTCTGAGTTAAACAAATTAATCCACTTATAGATAATTTGTTATGTAAATATGCCCCATAAGATGTCGCGTGTTAAAGACGAGCTAATGCACATCAACCACTCCCATTGATTGCTTAAGTGCATATAGAGGCTGTATGGGCAGGAGAAGTAAAATATAATTTTGTGCTATTCGTAAATCTCTTAAGTCATCTTACTTAAGAAGATTTGCGTCCTTCATAGGCAGTCTTCTTATTTTAAATCTAACTCATGTTAGATGAAACTTTTTCTTTCTTACATATTCACTTTTGGGATTTAAAAACAAATTCTAGAAACACTTCGTAGAAGTGAGTTAGCAGGCTATTTTGAGTTAATGCAATTTATTATTATTATTTCAAATAATAAAATTATTGCTTATTTGATACATTGACAAAGACTAAGTGAAGCAAACACGCAATTTATTAGATTTGAAAATCAAATTATATATTTTCCCAGTCTATTCGGCAAGCTTAGTTCAACCTCCTTGAGACTGTAAATTTCGCCATTACATCACAGAAATTTGCAACATTTATAAGCATTAAGGATATCAAAGAAGAGGAGTCCTACTGGTCAAACTACTACGTCTGTTACAAAATGATCCATATTTGGGCATAGCTATAGTATAACAGAAGGTGTGTTTCAAGATAGGGATAACCAAAGTGTTAGTTTAAATTTTTGAAATTAATAAAATTCCTTGACCAGAATTTTATCATAATAAATTCTTGAAATGAAAGTAAATGCACAGTTATGTTGCCACTTTTCTTTTGAAAACCTTAAACACGTTCCATGATTTATGCGTTTTCACAGCAATTATTTCACAGTCATAGTTCACTTAATTATCTCTAGGATTACCCCTACAGGCTACGTGAAAAGCTTTGGGAATATTTATGGGTATTTCACGGCATAGAATTGATGCCTACATATCCTGGTCAGTCACTTGGCTTGGCTCAACATTCACGACTTTTGAAATGACGGAAATGTTCGCCTGGTTAAAATATATATATATATATATATTAAAAGGTAAGACCTTAGGTAGTCCTCAAATTACCAGTATTAGTCTCAGCTACGGCAGCACTGTCAATGAAGTGGGACACTAGTGCTTTTCGCTTGACTTTTGGGGCTGAAAATTTGAAAGTGGCCTTTCGTCAATATTTCCGTATAACTTTGACTCCATTGCACACGAGCCATAAAATCCTACCACACTATTTGTTGTACTATTATTCGTGGGTGGCCTCATTCGGAAATTGTAAATAATTACACTTAATTTAAATCTAATGTAATTTGACATTTATTTACTCAAACGGAAAGTATGTTGGTTATTAGGTAGTTTTGAACCAATAACTTTTGATATAATTTGAAACACAAAAAATATATTTTGCTTACGCAACTGTGCCTTGAGGTGGAGCCCTCCTTATGCGAGTCAAGGTAGGCTTGAAAATGCTAGAAAAACTCTCTCTGGCAAATATTATTTTTTTACCTCACTCACTGCGCTTAATCAAATGGAGACTAAGTTATTGCCAAATCGTAGTGGCAATTTTCTTAAATCAAATTTTGAGTATTTTGTCCACAACGAGCACTTGCGATGAAACGGTCATTATCAAATACCAGATTTGCGGTCGACTTGAGCTCTTATGAGCACAAAATATGATTTTCTGCTCACTGATGATTTATTAATTGATAATACATTAGCGTGTAGCGTTTGCCATTATACTCAAAATAAGTGAAATGTTAATTAGTTTTTGATAAGTTTTCACGTTAGCTTATTCTTCGAAAGGAGACAATTGTATTTTTAGCATATCTTTGGAAGTAAATATGGTTATCAAATCTGAATAAGTACTTCCTTGCTGTCCTACGCAGACACAGTCAAATTTTATTTGTTACAATAAAAAAGAAGAATTAGTGTTTGTGTTCGAAAATCGAAATTCTTTTTCAATCAGAAGTAAGCAATATTGAATATACAGTAAATTACGAATTTAGGTACGGTAAGGGGATCGCTAAAGTATTAGTCCGCTTTCGCCTAGATTATGAAAAAGTAATTTTCTGTTTAAAATTAACATCACATTAAAACAAATAATATTTATTTATTTATTTATTTCAAATGGCAGGCTTTATGACACTTATCATTAGCCCTTTAGCTGACTTCGGGCTTCACAGAGGGAAGGTTCATCAAAGTAGCAGAAAGTCGAGGGGTGGGGAAGAGAAGAGCGATTCACAGATGTAAAAGAGGCAGACAGACACAAAGGTAGAGAAAAAGGTAAGGTGAGTACAGTGAAAGGGGTCGAATATGACAACCAGGGGGGTCGTGGTAGTTTGAAGTCAGAAGTCAACTGCCTTTTAATAGACTTTTTTGCCGTATGAGTATACGTTGCCCAGGGTGCACCACGTGGAGGTAAGTCTATCGCACACCCCA